GTCTATTGTTAATGATGAAGTAAATTGCATATCTGTGATGCTGTTGCCGATGCTGTAATTTCATTATGCATTTGTAGCACACACACACACTCACACACGTACACGTACACCTGTAGCATGTGTACATGCAATATGTTTTATGCATTTTAACTAACTTGCTCGTCTCTCTGTCTCTCCCCTTCTCTGTCTCTCCTTCGCAGCACTGAGCAAACCAACAACACCGAGCTTCCGCGGCAACAGTTACCTGATCTTGCCACCCCCTCGCATACCAATGAAAGACAAACGCCGCGGCCCTTCGCTCTATGCACGTCCACCGCGCGAAGCCGTACAAATATCGCTGAACTTCTCGACCATCGAACCCGATGGCCTATTGCTCTGGAGCGAACACAATCAGCAGAAATTCTTGGGCCTCGGCTTGGAGAACGGCCACCTGAAGCTGGCGAGCAATTTGCTGGGCAGCATCAATGATACCGTGCAGGCGGCAGCGAGCGGCTTTATTGCCGATGGCGCCTGGCATGGTACGAGCGTGCTTCTGGATCGCACACGACTCGAGCTGCAGCTGGATGGATCCGTGATATTCACAGAGCGATTGCCCGAGCTCAATAGAAGGCTAGCACCAACACCAACAACGACGTCGTTGCAGCGACGAGGCGGCAAGGAGCCAACGATTAGCTATGAGGATATTTTCTATTTGGGTAAGTGCTGGTCACACTTTTCATGCTAATTCGAAAAGGCTCTTTTAAGCTTGTGGCGTCACGGGGGTAACGTATTTCACCAATAGCACAATTCCAACCTCTGCTTCTTTCTAAGCAATTAAAATTTAATAGTTGCACAGACTTACCCTATGTTTTGTAATTCATAAATACTGCTGATTGTTTATTGCCCGTCTTTGAATTCATCAAATGCATTCGCGACGCGCGCCTCTCAGCCACAAGTGTTAACTCGCATGGAACTCTAGCGCCGGCGCAGATGTGCAATACAGTAGTAGAAATACGCGTCACGAATCAACGGTGCACAAGAGTGAGCAAGATAGCTGCGAACTTTCAACACGGCACGAACGCAGAGAACGTCTTATCCAAAGCTAATTTAATACTTGTTACGTTTTCTGTTTGGGATTCTGACATCTACGTTGCAAGCCGTGTACACTTTCAAAGTTTACATGGCAAGCATTCACACCGAATGTTGGATCACTTCACCTAGCAACAAACAATATTGTGAGACACACTCACAAAAACACAATACACAACCGCGTCTACAGGGCTTTCAACAATTACTAAGCCTCAGTTAATAGAGATGTGCAACGGCTCAAAACATTGAGCAATCGCATATCGATTAAAAAATATCGTGATTCTGCACAGATGATCTATTAACACGAGCTTAAAAAATCGGAGAGAACGCTGTTATATTTAAATGCAAGCGAATTGACCCACAGAAACAATTTATATGATTTAATAAAACTCATATAGTATAATGGATTATTATTATTACTATTTATTATTTACGCAAGTAAATAATGAAAATTTCAAAAAGAATAATAATATTCCTATTGAAATTTTCATTAGCCATGCAGCTTTTAATTTTTTAAGCATGCAGCTAAGCGCTGTTATTTAACATAGTACTGTTAACCTACAGCTGATAACAGCCTTTGTAAAGAGTTGGCAGCACACAATTTTGTTCACATACCATCTTTAACGGCTATTTGATTTTTGGGCTATTTAACAGGTGGATTTCCCAATCAGGAATCGGTTAGCAAACGGACACAAGGACGCTTTTACGAACCATTCAAAGGCTGTCTACAGGATATACAATTCGGTGCAGAGCCAACAGCCATTATAAGCGACTTCTCAGCATATCAAGGCGAGAATATTGGCTCATGTGATTTGCACGGTGATGAGCCGATCGTAGTATAAATCGACAGATAAATCAAAAAATTGAAATGAAATGAAAAAGAAATTAATATGGATAAGAGAACAAATTGTATAACCAAACATTCGTATATTATTGTGAATTACAATTAAATAATTGTGGACGAAATTTCAAGTAAAACTGAACACAAGAAAGGAAAAATTGCAAAAATTTAGATGTTAAGCTTAAGTGTTAAGGGAGTTTATATTTGCAAAAGCCTCCTTTAAAAACAAAAACAATTTTAAAACATATACAGTCGAGGCAAACGAAAAGAAACATAATTTTGTAAATTTTATAGAAATAACTGACAAAAAAAGGAGAAAAAAATTAACAAAAAGTTTAGACAAGTAAAAAATAAAATGAAAATGAAAAGAATGTGGTTTATCAATAAATCGAGAAAAAAAAAAACACTAATAAAATACTTGAATACAAATTGTAGTTTAGGTTCTAAATCTAGCAAAAATACCAGATACTTCTCTTACGTACATAAGTGATATTTAATGTGGAATAATGGTAAAAGAACAAGAAAACAAAAATGATAAATGATAAATGAAAGTAAAGACATGCTCCTTAACTAAAAGACATTTCTTATTAAAATATACTATATATGTGTAATATTGTTTTGTTGAACCAACGGTTTTGTTATGAAAATATGTGTTATATATTTATATCTCTATATACCTTATTGTGTTCTCTAATCAAAACTTCTCTATGCTGCCCTCTAAACGAAAAACAACAACTTTCTGCCATTATGATCTTTTATTAAATATTTTTGAAATTTAGTTAGATTTAATATTTTGTTTAGCAACAACAACAAAAAAAAAAAAAACAAATACTCAAATTGAAGCCATTTAGTTGCCTTGTAGTAAGTTAGTTATAAAACTCGCGCTCTGATTTATGGTTTTCGTCAAGAATCTATTCAGCAACTTTGACTCTACGTATAAATTATGGAAACAAAATTATTATTCTTATAAAACTGAAATCAAGTAGTAAGCAAACCAGACAAAAAAAATAAAATAAAAGTAAGAAAAAAAAAATATATATATACATATATACAATACTTTATTATACAACAAAAAGGAAAAGAAAAAAACAACAACAATGTAACCCAAATTACATTAAGTATGTAATAATTATTTCGAGTTATAATTTGAACAAATAAAAAACAAAAAATAGAATGAGTTAATATGCTTGTCTTAATTCTGCTTTTGATCGACTGTACGCTGATGCATCCAACTTTCCAGCGCTGCCAGATGACAAAATAATTCCATTTTTGAAATGATGTCTTTAAAAAAAGTTCCAGCAATTCGACTCCATATTTGGCGTTTCTTCAGCTTTTTTCGCCATTACATCGGCTTGCGCATGAATTTCGGTAGCTGTAAATACCGGCATAGTTATATATCGATATTTATATACTATAATAACTGATCTTACCCAACTCGATGAAACAATTGTGTGCATTCATGCCACTCACGGACGACGATTCCATAAATATCAAATTGTACAATGCTGCAAATTCCTGTCCTTCACTTCTGCTTATCACGCGATTCTCTGCCATATCCGCCTTATTGCCGGCAAAAACAATCACCAAGTGAGGTGAGAGCTTTCATATTCAATAATATGCATTATATACAATACTTGGATTAATCCACTCACTCACATTGCTATTCGTAAAGCATACCTTTTCTCTTAGTTCGATCACCCAATCCATTGCCTCTTCGAAACTATCGCGACTCTGAATATCATAAACTATAATAGCTCCTCTAGAGAGTTTGTAATACATGTGTAATACATCCATAAAACTAAATAGACAGTTTTCGAAATCAATTTTGAAATACTTTAGACATATCTTTAAATACCGTTTCTGTCCCGAAGTATCCCATATCTTTAGCTTCACAACCTGATTACGCAGAATGATTCTTTTCACTTTGATGTCAACACCAACTGTGGACTTCATCTGTGATGTTCTAGGCGCTTGATCGGATAAGCATCGTTGTAGTAGCGAAGATTTACCCACAGCGACACTACCGAGCAGGATCACTTTGTATTCGACAATTTGTTGAGAACTCATTCGTGAAAGCCGATTCCTCACGATCTGCACTTGACGACCTAATGTGCAAAACTAATATATTTCGTGAAAAAAGGAGATTCATACCCTTATTGAAACTGGCAAATTAAGGTAGTTCACTTGAAAATTATGATTCTTAAGCACGCTCTGTCCCGCTCTTTTTATTTCTACCTCTATCGCTCTCTTTCTGTGGTTTCATTATAATTATGCATATAATGTACATATATGTACATATATATAGAATCATTCTGCTTTTATAGATTTTATCATTTATCAATATTAAACACCGAGTTGCATTTACCTTCTAAAAATATGTATAAGAAAGCCAATATGATCAATGCTATATATATATATATATATATTTTATCTATTGACATCTGTTATGTTCCATAAGGTAATCCATATCAGATATTAATATTTTTGTCCAATGTTGTAAGAGCATTTTTATAATCTTTCTTCTCCTATCTATAGTATATTGTATACACAGTATACATCACTCTATTGTATCCCACAATTGCAGCAAGCATTCTTTTCAAATCTAGAGGGATTGTTATATTTGCGCGCTTTTAGCTCATCAGCTGAAAAGCAAATATCAGACTAATGTCATATATGAAGTTTTGTATCCTTTAACTTACCCATAGCATAAAAAATCTCATGAATATTTGCACCTGTTTTAGCCGATGTCTCCATGAATATATAGCCATTATCTCGAGCATATTTGCTCATCTCGGTAGAATCCACGCACAAATTATCCCACAAATCTATTTTATTAGCGGCTATGGCTATGACAACAGTCGGGGCCAACTGAAGCAGGCGTTACATATAGGATATACATACATACATATGTATAGAGGGTTTTGTATACAAAGCATTTTCTTACAAACCTTTTCGCGTAATTCCTCAATCCACATTTTGCTGCAAATATAACTATACCGATCCTGAACATTATAAACAATCAGAGCGGCCTCAGCATCGCTATAATACATATGCGCCAGTCTGTGCCAGCTGATCAAATATAAACATTTATATATACACATACATTTGTACAACTAATACCTACCGTTCCTCGCCCGCCACTTCCCAGGTATCAAATCTGAGATCTTTATCCAAATATAAAGTAGAAAACGATGCAACTAGTGTTCTTTCCGGAGGCTTTACAGCTTTTCCATTGATAAAATACGAAACCAGAGAAGATTTACCAACCTCTGCAGAGCCCAATATTACCAATTTGTAGCGTTCGATCAGCCAGGCTAGTGTCTCTCTATGTTTAGCTACCGGCACGCCCTCTTTCAAGCATAACTGTACTTTAGCCTTTGGCATTTTGAGAGCTCTGCTCTGGACCATTCAAACGCGACTGAAGTAAATACTCCATTTCATATTATCGTAGAGGTACGTTCTATTTGATTTAAAATTAGCTTATATGATTAATTTTTAATTCTGAGTCAGTTCGACTTTTTCTCAATATAGAATATAGAATGAATCGTATATATAAGTAAATATTATAGCTTCATTTCCAGCTGGCGATCTGAATCCACGTTCACTACATTATACCCGGGTTTCTTTCAAAAATATCATTCTTTGCAATTCACTAGTTCCATTGCAAATCTAAATTATATTCTGGCTGTTCATAAGTTAAGAAGATTTGGGGAAGGTGTTTCGGAGAGTTTCGTAAACTTTCGAATCTCAACCCATTTGAATAGGTTAAACATTCCGAAAAATGATATCCTTTGCAATCTAATTGTAAGGCTTTCATAGGTCTTAAATCCTAATATTTCTCACAAAAAGTCCTAAACTTTGTTTAGTTCATTAAACTTGTTTCCTTTTATGCTGCATAGCGCTTGTTAAACTACATTATAGTATTTCTCTTTTGCTCTAGATATTTTTTCTTAGATTCTTGTCCGAACAAGTTCAATTAACACCTTAATAAAAAAATCTGTTTTTTGTATAACAAAAAATATTAAGACTATTCCATTTTCTAAATAAACCGAACCAGCAAGTTGAACAAACAAAAAAATAAATAAAAATTTAAATTAAAACAAAATTTAATTCTACTTGACAAATGATTTTCATCTAAATTCCATTAAATGTTATTTCGATTTTATATATGTATATATATATACGATTTTTATTATAAATGTTTAATTTTTAAATACATACATACAACATAAAAATTATAAATTGGAAAAAATACACACAGCTGTTTAGGCGTAGCTTCTTTTCTCACGCTGATTCATTTTGTTTTCTTTTTTATTTTGCTTACTTGGTTGATCGCTGGTTGATATATATATATACATATACAGATGTATATATATATATATACATACATCTTGTACATCTATATATAGTAAGTAGATTAGAAATCAAATACGATTTGTGAACCGTAAACAAATTGTGAACTTAAAGTATTTTTAGCAAGCTTTCAATTTGTGGTGTTGTTTTTCAAACTTCAACTTGATCGGCTTAAGACTTCATCTTATATGTTGCATAAGAGGGTTTACGATAATTGATTTGTATCTTATTTAGTTTTAGGTATAGCATTAAATCTTTGATTGTTGCTAGAATGTGAAATAATAGTAGAAAAAAGAAGAATAAAGCTAAACATAAATGGAACCAAAAAATTTATAACTATGAATAATTTCTTTCGATTTGTTTTGTATTTTTTAATTCTTTTTTTTTTTAGATTTTCATTAGATTTTTTTGTTTGTTTTGCTTTTTTTTATACGTGTATATATATAATTTATATAAATTGCAACTATCACACGTGCCCAACGCAGCTGGAGAGAGCCGGATAGGCACACACATTGCCACAGATCGAGGACGAGCGATTTTTCTCTACTATGGATCTGATCTGAACTGAACCAAAACTGAACTGATCTTTCGGTTTACCATCTTCGCTATATATATAATTTTTATATATATGATTTTCTCTTATTTGGAACGCTGCTGAGAACAACTGCAACTGGAATTTTTTCGGCTTTCGTACGATTCACGAAAACATTTCTTTCTGTTATTTTAGTTTTCCATTTTTTTATACAATGCAAACTTTTGTTGAACATTTCTACGACACGACGTGAACTTGAATCCGCTTTCTTTAATGCTTACGTTAAATTTTACTTAAAATGCGTCTAGACGCATTTGGTTTGAGATGAAATCGAAGTGAGAGCTCTCTAAGTGGCGGCTATGAGCTATGGGGCCAGATATAGTAGAAATATTGTTTTAAGAGCGCTTTTATCGCTTGGTGTTAACGGGGCTATGTGTTGTTGTTTTTCATATTATTTAAACTAACTTTTTCCTTTTATGTTTTGTTTGTTATTTGTTTGTTTTCTTCAATTAATTTAATTTATAATTTATATTATCATTATGTGTTTCATCATCATTCTCATCCTCATTATCATCATCATCATCAATCATGAAAATTAAATTGTTTGCCCCTATGAGCCCGCATTAGTTTTAAATTTTAAATAATGTTTTTATTTATAATTATCAGCATAAACTTTTCAAATCTCTCGTTGGAAATTTCATTTTCTGCAATGACAAAAAGCAACCAATTTAAAATTGAAATTCTATACGATCCAATTAATTTCGCTGATGGGCGCACACAACACACACCTACAAAGGGACATCACTTGCAACAGTTGTTCGTCGTTTGAGTTGATTCGTTTCCATTTGGCTTTATAACAGTTCCTGGATTGTTGTCATTCTTGGGTAGTTTCTTGGCTGTACAACAATTAATAGATATTATTATTATTATTATTTGCATTCAGTTCATATATGATTCATTACTTACCAATTGCCAAGAAGATATCATTGACATTCATGCCCGTCTTCGCTGACGTTTCCATAAACAACAAACCATTCTCTTCTGCATATTGCTTCGCTTCATCGAACTCCACTACGCGAATGTTCGATAAGTCCGCCTTATTGCCAGCCAGCGCAATGACAATGTTCGGTGAGGCCTACAAAACAAAAAATTGTTTATATAGTAGATAATATAATTAATGAATTCAATATGCCTTAAATACTATGAGAGTTTCATCTCAAGATTTAAATTTACTTTAAATTTCTTTGCTTTATACACCTAAAAATATTTTTGCTCAGCTGACTGATTTAGCTTGTCAATGCCAAGTTTCTTGCATTACAGTTATCCTTGGATTTATTACGAATTGGATATCAAGCACTTTATCGTGGACTTTGTTCTTTGCAAAATATTACTTTGGCCATAATTTCGTAATGCATGCAATGATCCGTAAACAATGGCGGAAATAATAAATAAGTTCAATGCACGGCGGAGAGCTTCAATTCATTAAATTTATATACACATATGTTTGTATGTATGTATATAAAACAAACAAATATAATTCCATTTGTGTTTATGTGCATGTTTTTCGCTTCTGCTCGCATTTAGCTCGATCACTCAAGAGAGAATGAAGAAGAGCTCGAATGCCATGTTTACTCACTTGTTTATGCAGTTCCTTGACCCAGGTTTTTGCACGCTGAAAACTGTCCTGATTTTGTATGTCATAGACAACGATGGCGGCCTGCGCACCTCTATAATACATGGGAGCTAAGCTGTGATACCTGTAAAAAGAGAAAATATTTTAGACAAAATGTTTGGTATAAGCCAGAGGAAGAATTAAATTAAATTAATATTTTTTTATTATATTTCTAATGGCATTCAATTTTTCGCGCCAGCCTCGTAAATAATAAAAGCACTTTAACGCTGGGGTGAACAATCATGTTAAGTGAGGCATTAATATTTAATACAATGGTTACAGTAACATTGAATCATTAGCATTCACATCAGGTAACCTTAACATAGCTAAAAAGCATTATCATTTACATTTACCCAGAGGCGTTAACGTGTACAGCAATGTGAATGTTAATGCTAACATTTATGTTTACAAGAACATTAAAGTCTTTAATTTCGAATGAAAACTGAAATGAATGTAAATGCTGATATTAACATGGTACTAACAGTTAGGGGTACATTAACATTGAAGCATTAATTTCAATTTACACATGTAAGATCAAATTATTGCCTATGTTAAAATTCTGGAGTATTTATACATTGCAGCATGAAGGTAACATGAAGATGAATGTTAATTATAATCATTATACGAATAGCATAAATGTGTATAAGATAATGCAAATTAATTTTAACATTCTTAATTATATTATAATTGAGGTTCAACATTAACTATTACGTGACAATGGAAAAACTTAAATCACTAATATTAGCATTAGGCTCAACATCTATTTCATTTGAGACTTACCGCTCCTGACCGGCTGTATCCCAGATCTCGAACTTGACCACTGTATCCTCTATGCAAATGGTTTGTGTTAGAAAGGCCGCACCTATCGTGCTCTCCTGATATTCATGGAACTGGCCCTTAACAAAGCGCAGCACCAGGGACGATTTGCCAACGGCCGATTCGCCAAGTAGCACCAATTTGAATTGACAACTTTTATTCTGCGAGGTGCCATTGGGACGTTGTGCGGCTCCAGAGCTGGAGCCCCCGCTGCGTGGTGTTGTTGCCATTATTTTTCTGTAGCTGTGATTGATGTTATAATTGCGCCTAAAACGTAGGAATAAGCCTTTTGATGCGAGATTTGTTCCGGACGGTCAAAAAAATTTTCAATTTTCTCTCAATCTCTCACTCTGGCCAGATCTCTCTTTATCTCTCTCTCTCTCTCTTTATATATTATCTTGCTCTCTCTTTGTCTGTGTCTGCCCGTGTGTGTGTATATATAATCTAGAAAAGAGAATAAATATTAATGCACAAGTTTGTGAGAATTTCGCGGCTGCTGATAAATAATAAAATAATGCTGTCAACGTCATTGGCCGTGCGGCGCCTTTTAGTATTTGCATCCGCGCTAATCGAAATCAATTAAACATATTCTCATATTCTATACAGAGAAGTGCTTATCGATGAACTGAAGGGGCCGAATATAAATCAGAAACGCCCCATTAACGCAATCCAAATATGAATATTTCGAAGTAGTATCAAGTGAAAGATAATAAAATATACAATAAATGGTTTAAATATTGATCAATCTATGCAGCACTCAAAGCTGCTGTAATTGAAATTAAAGAGCTTTTCAAGCAAAAGCTTACTAATACAAAGAATCTTCAAACAAGGCCGACTGAAGGCCGAAAGCTTATCTACAATCAGATATGACCGCATATGTTATAAGATGTATAACTGAAATATACAATATGCATTTCATAAAGATTTTGGGGCTGTGCTACATATTTGAATATACATATGTATATAGTGTAATGCTAATTGAACGACAAAGTTCAATGTCAAGAATTTGTGTGGAGGAGAAATACTTGCGTGTCAGCAACAAACACAAACAAACAAACACACTCATACATACATTCAGTTAATTGCGAATTGCGCTAATCACAACAACAACACCAACAATAACATAGGGAATGAGCAACTAGGGAAACAACTAAAAATACTTCAAACACGCGCAACACAATAGGCGAAACCTTAAAAATGTTTAGGCGCAATTATTGTTCCCATGCCTGTGTGTGTCAGTTTTTTTTTTTTTAAGCAAATAAATACAAAAGTTTTAAGACCTTACTCATCTGGTTACAAAATTGTTTTTTTTTTTTTTTCTTTCAACTTCTACAATACAGAAACTCAGACAAATGTAAATTGTTATCAGTTAAATGTCTATCTTATCTGAGTTACTCATATTATAGTCAACAAATCGCTCACTTTGGCTACTACAGAAATAATACAAAATAAAATATGCGCGAAACGGGCCCATGCCAAACAGTCAAAGTCTGTAAAGTAAAGGCTAGCAATGTTACCGAAAAAGTAATTTAGTTTAGCATTGCTGTAATTTACATAAATGTCAAAGATGTTAGCTAACATAAATAGAGCATGCGGATTTGCATTCTCAACAGAGCAGAAAATTCCTCTGCATTAAATTAAGCCTGATAACACGAGAGAAACTCCATAGTAAAGTCGAGGAAGTCAAAAACTTATTTGCTATGAATCATATTTTTTGTAAGACTATAAGTAATAAGAATTTCTGTGGAAAAGTTATGTTTAAATTAAATCAAAGCGCAACGCTGACACGCGTTTACATTTTGTCTCTACAATTAATTAACAGCAAAGTACTAAACTACAGAGAAATCTCGACTGGACGAGTGGATAGAGAGGAAACAGATTTGGAAGTGAGATTGATAACCACGGATCTCGTGTTGTTGAGAACAGGCTGAAAGCGGATATGTTAAGGAGAGAGAGAACAGCAGCAGCTGCGGGTGCGGGTGCGGGTACCAGTAGAGGCAAGGCATTGCTGGACTATACGACAAAAGAGAGCGACAAAAATCAATGCAAAATGAATTACATATGTATACGGGGGGCAGCGGGTAAGCGGTAGCGGTAGGCAAGCAGGCAGAGGCAATGCAAGGCAGAGAAAGTTAAATGCGGCGCATTTCGTTATTGTTGTATTATTAAATTAAGCGTCAAAGCAATATTACAGCAACGATGCAGACAGACAGCATCAACGTGAACGCAAATCGAGTAAAAAACTTGATGCACTAACATTTTTTTACGTTGTCTATTGTCTGCTGTGTGTGTGAGACCCGTTTGAGGTTTTGGCGCTTTGGAGCAAAGTGCAAATACACACACACAAACACAAGTAAATATCAAGTTGTCAAGCACGACTTACACACACACACACACACTCACAAATATGCCAAATGTATGAATGCGAGTGTCGCTATTTTTTTTACTCTCCCATTCTCTCTCACTCGCGGGAAGTAAAAATTTTCACTTGATTTTATATTTCTGTTTGCCGTGACGTCGCGGCGTTGCATTTTATCAGAATTGTATTAGAGATCCCATGTGGCAAAGCTAGCATCAGATTTTAATTAATCAAAAGATCACATGATTTTAAAAAGCAAACATTGTAAATTAAATGAACAATATTGATAAATGCTTTTGCAAACACGACTGGCAATTCCAACAGCTGGCCTCACCACACACAATTATGAATCTTAAAGGACGTACGTTTGATCGTACCGAACGGAGGAAATGAGCAGGCAATCAACGCTGAGCAGAAAACAAAAGCGGCGCGCAACCCCTTCAAGGAAAATTCAATAAAATATAAAACAACGGCATAGCGACAAGTCCGGAAATTACCGTAGGCAACACTAGAGAACAGCTGACGATGCGTCATTCACACAGAAAACGAAACGGCTGACACACACACGCACACAGGCATACCACAAGAGAGAACAAGTGGCAAAGGGAAAGAGCAAAAGAGAGCGCACTTTATACAATTGGAGCCGTTGACATAAAACCGTTGCTTATTAAGAATCAGCGATCAATGGAATTCGCAGTTTACTTTATAAATTTTAATTTATGATTATATTCAATAATTATTAGTTTTAGTAGTAATACCAACTCCGAATGTATATGTACATATTTAAATCACTAGCATAGCACAAGTACAAATTCAAGTCAACAAGTGTAATAATTGAAATTTGATGAAGAAAAGATAAAACAAACCCCTATAGGTTCAGTTTCAAACACGTCGACATCATTTTTGTTCATTTCAACGGCCTCAGCATTAATGACAGTGCATTAAAAAGGCGGATACAAAAACAAAGGAAATAAAATATGCGATTTTGTTTACATTAAGCCACAGAGAGCTTCGCAATTTTGCTCTTGCACAGGGTGGAAATATCAGAGAAGGTCTCATGAAGCGGGGGCGTTGAAGCTGGCATGACGATAAGCAACGATTGTAGATAAATCCGTAGACACACACAAGCAAGCAAATACTCACACACACACAAACGCACGCACACATTCATAGAACGAGCTCCACATTCTAAGACGCAAAAAGCGAGTGAACAAAGAAGCAGGTAGATAGGGCTAGGAGCTGCAAAGCTTAGCCGACAACTGATTACTAGACTGTGCATTTCTTCACTTTCCCGCACCTGTAATTGTATTATTCACAGTTATATTGCCCTTTGGTTATCATACAGAAAAACAAACGCACATTTATTGCGCTATATGTGGCCACTGTGCGCTGCATTTAAGCACCAATACTTCTGAGAGAACTCGTTCTGTCTTGCTTACTCCCATGCTTTCGCATGCAACGCACCCAATTTCAGGGACAGCTATCACGCTCGCTCACTCAGGCTCGCAGAGCAGCAGTATTCGCATGTATCAGTGTATATGTGCTCGTGTGTGTGTTTTGTGGGGCGAATTGATTGCTGCTCGCGCTCTCTTTCTCTCTCTTGCTACTCAGCGCCAGCTATCGATGACGATTGTAATGGTGGACATGAAAAATTTTACACAACTTTCTTAATTAAAGGAAAAACAACAGCGCCCTTTTCACATGCACTTCTATGCTCTCACTTTTTGTTACGCACTTTAATTGTAACAACAACATTATGTACACTTTACTGCTGCAACTCACTCTTTGTTTGTGTTTGACTGTGATTTACGATTTCTTATTTGCGTTTTCGAACGTAGCACAGCCACGGAAACTTGGAAACAAACGCACGCAGAGAGAGATAGACAGCGACTGACTCTGTCCCCACGACTCTCCACAGTTTCAGGTCTTGTTTTTGTCAATTTCGTAGCGCTGCACGTATTGTGAGACGTGACTTGCACTATTTCTGTCGGCCCTTTAGTTTTAGGTGCAGTCCGCGAAGATTATTGTTTTTACCACTCTGTTTTTTGCGAATATTGCCTGGATTATTGCTGAACTTGAATCCACTTACAATTTTTATTAGTGATGTAAGAAAACATCGGATATTAGCGATATTGATTGATGCTCATTCGATGTATCTTTATCGTGACTTTCGATTGAAAGTAACCGATTTCCATACAAAAATCTATACAATTTTCTCTATTTTTAAAATTAAATTATAGTTTGAAAATACTCATATCTAAGTAGTGTATCAGGTATCAGGCAAAGGTAAATCTCTCATCTTTTTCAATCAATATTCAAGAGGACTGGTACCTCATATTCCGATCATTTTGTTATTTAATACAATAAAACTTATAATTTAATTGAATTGTTTTGATTTTGATCAATCCCAAATTTATATTAACACTGACCAGAGAACACATAGTCACATATTAATCAATATCGACATACGTTCCAAGTCTTTATTTCATTTGTTTATTTTGTCATTTTAGTCTACATTTATAATAAGGTTCATAAATTCTATAATAAAAGATTCATGGGGTCCACCCATTATATTCGCTCTTATTTAAAATGTCCATCTATCGATAAGGTACTCTCTTCACGCTTTACGTGTCGTTCGGTTACAGTGCTTTGATTTTATGGCATTTTTCACCGATTACGACAGCATTTGCAAATTCTATGCCAATGTCGGTATTTTCGGTATTTTTGCTTAATATGGCCACATTATCATTTTGAGTATTTTGTGAATGGCAGTAAATGGTAATAACATTGCGAAGCGAGAAGTGAAAACGTTAATCGAGAATCCGAAGAAGTAGGATTTGATTAAATAATTGAAGTTCAACATTAATAGTGCGACCGAACCACCGTGCAAACGTAATAAATAGTGATCAACAGCAATACATAGACACTGAGCACATCTTGTTGCGACGTCCCTTGCTCACGCACACACACATAGCCATTGACATTTGTGATCTGTGCTCTGCGCCTCCTTTGCTCGTACACACACACATACACGCGTATACTGCGGTCTCCCTGCGTTTCGTCGTAGTTTTCACAGCTGCAACGCAAATTCGAAAAAGGAGTTTGCAAATTTGCATCAAGTGTCCCGGAAAAGCGCAACCAAAGCGCAGTGTGCTAAATAATCGGATCAAAGGTGTGCAAATTATTGATTTTGCTTCGACTTAAACAATTTTCATATGAAATTCATTGAATTTTTTCCACTCGCCACATTGCAATTTCAATTAAATTCATTTGCCACAGGCTGTTGCATATCAGATAGCTGTTTAAGTTGGGTAAAAGAAAAAATGTAGTTATTTTGTTACTAATCCTGATTGCACTTGCACGTGGCGCTGTGTGCCTGCCTAGGCGTGCCCTTCGCATACACACACTGCATACATCGAACTGGCCCGGAATTTTCCTTTGCCTTGCCGCGCCACACACCAGCAATAGCAACAACAACAGCTCTATAGACAAGACGGAAAAACGGAAACGTAACGCGAGAACTTTCATTTCGTGATCTGTACAACACTATAAAAAAAAGAATGATTGTTAAGGCTGAGGCATAAACTGATGAATAGCTTAAGTAAATGAATTAATTTTGCTGCTGACTGATCCAGCAAAATCGACGCAGACAATTTGCACAGTGATTACTCACAAAAGCGAACGATTATGCTCGAAGCAGTCAATTTTATCAAGTGCATTAAGAGAATCTGTTTTACCTATGGTACACTTGAAATAGTTGAGCTGTAGAGTGAAAACTCTTAACGTGGCCGTTGTTCTTCTTGAGTTGGCCAATCTCAATCAATTTTTCCATTTGTGATTTACTTAAACTAACTTTATTTTGTGTTTAAACTGGATATAAACTTTTTCTGCTCTAAGAAAGTATTATTTTAGATCTAGAGCTGCAAACTAATATTTTTTTTTCACAGATTGAGAAAAGCAATCGAATTTAGAATTATTAGCCAGGCCTATTAAAGCAATTAAAACTACTTTCAGTACTGTCACAATGTCACTTTATGTTTGATTATGTCATCGATAAGCTATGATATATCGATGCTTAAGCTTAATTTTTAAAGAGGTTACAAATCCTGTCTGTTATGTCTTAACAGTTAAACAGGCTTCCTCCTTATTGTGTCTGTTCAATCTTAACTTTTAAACAAATCTGAACTCTTGAAAGTTGGGAGTTGGGAAGCTTTACTGTACTAAACTTTACATATATTAATTTAAGTTATAATATTGCAATATCACAAGTATATTACAACTTTTATGTGTATTCCTTGCCTTGCAATCCAATAATACCTTTCGAGGGTATAGAATTTCAATATAAACTGATCTGATAAACAAGTTAAAAACTTTATTATAAACATAACTCGCCTTACAAGCTCTAAGATATACATGTATATATGTATATGTATGCAGTTTAAGGTCGATAGATGTTGATATGAATATATCATTTATTTAAATATTAAACACACAAACTTTTAAATATATACATGTTCATCAAAATTCACATTATTTTCACTCACAATTTTTTTCCCCAATTTTTCTATGTCCTCAGATGGAACTGTTGCGACAGCCACATTTAGCTGCAAGGAGGCCAACGAACTAAGCAACAGCTGGGTGAGCCGTTGGGGGCGGTCATGAGAAGCATGTTCCGTCCGATCAAGAAGATTTTTACGTACATACAGAAAAATGCCAGCAATGGAACCATGTTCGGCAGCACAAACAGCGTGAATGCCGACAATGAAGCCACCAGCAGCAGCGGCGGTGCAGGCGGAGGTGGAGACGGAGGTGTCGATAGAATGGAACAGCCAAAGGAGTTGGTGCTGGAGGAGCAGCTGCAGTTGCCAGCATTGGATGGAGGGACGAGCCAACAGCTCGAGGATGAGGACATTGAGCGTCAAATAAAAACATCAATTATCGATGCCAGCAAAGTGCACGCGGCCAAGTCGAAAATTGTGCTGCCGCTACAACTGCAGCTGGACGATGAGCTGGCGGACTTTGCGCACGAGCCAGTGTCGCTGATAGTGGAGGAGGAGGACGATATGGAGGAGCAGTATCTGGAGCTCGAAAACTTTCCCAACAATGAGATTATTGTGCTGAGCGATGGCGAGCTCAATTCATCGCTCGCCTCGGACAACATATCCGAGGATCCGCTGGCAATAGATGACTTTACGCAACCATTGCTGCGCGAGGATGACAACGAGGTGGAGCTGGAGGTGGAGGAGGAAGTGGAGACCAGCGGTAATTTACTGTGGCTCAAGCTGGACACGCCAGCGCCAGTCGGCAGCAGTGTGGACAACATCAGCAGCAGCAGCAGCAGCGGCCTCGTCGTCGGAACTCTGCCCAGCTGCAGCAGCAATGGAGCAACGGCTATAATCCAGCCAACCACAAAGACCAAAGAGGAGGAGCTGCGCAGTGACGGTGGCTCCGATTCGGGACTGGGCAGCGAGAATGATCGACACAACACAGCAAAAGCCAATTCAACGGCAACAACAACGGCAACATCAGTTAACGGCTCGCAGAAGCCGCTGCGCTCGAATCTGAAGCGGCGACTGGACGACGATGCCATGGAGCTGGCCTTGGTGCCAGACATGAACAGCAGCAGCAGCAGCAACAGCAACTGCTGTTCGAGCACACAGAAGCGCTCGAAGCGTTGCATCAACTTTGATAGCGTTAAGGTCTACTATTTTCCCCGGCAGCAGGGCTTCAGCTGTGTGCCCACAGCCGGTGGCTGTACGCTGGGCATGGGCGCCCGGCACATTGCTTTCAAGACGATGACACTGGCGGAGCACGCGGCGGAACTGAGGCGTGCGCATCGCAGCCAGAATCAGGAGCAACAGCAGCAGCTGCAAACGCGCGGCTCCAGCAGCGATGACAGTGAGGAGTCCGAGGAGGACTATCTGAGCGAGGGCAGCAGCTCCGATGCTGAAGATGGCTCCAACGGATTCCTGCAGCCGGTGACGCCCAAGCAACGACGGGCGCTGCTAAAAGCGGCCGGCGTACGGAAGATCGATGCCAGCGAGAAGATCGACTGCAAGGATATACGCAATTCGCGCGAGGTGTGCGGCTGTTCGTGTCGCGAATTCTGTGACCCAGAAACGTGTGCCTGCAGCCAGGCGGGCATCAAGTGCCAAGTGGATCGAGCGATGTTTCCGTGCGGCTGTACGCGCGAGGCCTGCGGCAACACCGTGGGACGCGTCGAGTTCAATCCTACCCGCGTGCGCACCCACTATATACACACCGTCATGCGGCTGGACATGGAGCAGCGCCAGAGCCAGGGCCCGCCGACGTCAACAGGCAATAGCGGCCTAACTGTCTATGGCAGCAGCAGCGGCAGCAGCGCCTCTGGCAGCAGCAGCAGTCCTGGCATCGTTTCACCCGCTGCTGCTGCTGCCGCCGCCGCCTCGCACTGCTACTTCATGCAGCCGCAGTCCAACTACAGCTCCGGCTATGCCTCGCCAGCTTACACGCCCGAGTCGAGCTACTACCAGGCGCAGCAGCAGACGCCGGGGCAGTCGACAGCCTCGCCTGGAGCTACAGTCAATGGCGGCAGCAGCAGCAGCAGCAGCAGTGGCGCGACACAGCAGCCGAGCTATGCTGCCGGCTATCCGCAGCTGGACAGCCTTGATGCGAGCCTCTTTACGAGCGGCAGCAATGCCACGCCCTCGTATGGTGAGCTGTTAACGCCCACCTATCATCCGACCGTCAGCTATGGCAGCACACAGGTGAGTGCGGAGATGATTCACTGAGTGAATGGCAGACTTTTATAAGAGATGAATTTGCTTGCAGCTCAACTCCTACAATGCCTATCAACAGACGACGACCTTGTCGGGCGGCATTGTTTCGCCCGGCGCGTACAGCTCGTGCGCGGTGCCGTCTGTGCCGCCCTTTGGTAATGCCACCACCACCGCCTCGAATGCCACGCAATATCAGCACGCGAATGTGCTGGAAACCACCGCCGCTGCCGCGATGAGCACCAGCAGCAGCCTAGCCATCACGGCCAGCAGCTGTGCCACGGGCCTGGGCCGGCTCACTGGCAACGTTCCGGTGGACTTTATCAATTTGAATGCGCCCATTAACAGCTCATCACGCATCTCGCAGATCAATGATCTATTGCAGCACAATCGTAATACCACCGCCGCTTTGGTCGCTGTCTCCGAGGGCTATACCACTGTGCGCAGCAGCAGCAGCAGCAGCAACAGCAGCAGCAACAAGAACAACAACAACAACAACAGTGGAAACAGCAACACCACCACCAACAGCAACAGCACCAGTAGCATCGACATCGATTCAATTGATACGCCGCCCATTGTGGAGGAGGCTTCGCAGCGCAGCTGTATGACATTCGAGGAGCTGCCACCGCCGCTGATTAATCCCACGCCCATTGTTGCCGTTGTGGAGCAGCAGTCACAGCAGCAACAGCAGCAGCAGCACAAGCAGTTGATCGTTGTGCCCACAACGCCGCAGCCGCGCCAACCGCTGTAATCCAGCACCGGGATCGAATCCTGCAACAGCAATTGAAACAGGATTTACCCAAAATCTGTGGATAGTTTTTATAGCAATTTTACACAGCAGAAGACTTAATTACATTTAAGTGGCAGCGTCTAAATCAAAATGCGTGTTTAGGATTTAACAACATAATGTTTGTTTCGGGTCGCCATCGTCCCAACGTGCCGCCCGCCTTCCTTCGTCTCTGACGTAACCAAAACTTCGGCTGGCAGCTGGAAATCATCCGTTATGCATGATATGCATAATATCCGGCTCGCCTTGTATAAAATCAGTTTTAATTGTTACAACTCTAATTAGTCTTAAGTAAACATTGTAATTTAGTCACTTCGTTGCTTAGGTTTGGAAAGTATGTATTTTTTTCTCTATCCGCCTTACCCCAATAACAAATAACGATTAATATATATGTAGATATATATAAATATATTTTGTATTTCGCTCGAGCAGAGAAGCACCTGCAACCACTCCGTTTCGCATGTCTAGCGTTGTTTCAACGAATTTAATCCAGCTGGGCCTTGAACAATTGTATCAAATAAAAGTGATTTGCTTATAATCATTTCAACTTTCAATTTAATTGTCATTGAACTAATTGCTTTGCATTTACATTTGAAAACTAAATTCGTAAATTAATTTTCAGTCTCTGTAAAATGTCTGGTTTTTTTTTTTTTTTTTTTTTTTTAATTCTTCTGTTCATAAGTATTCCTTTAGCTTTTAAGTTTCCGATTTGACCTTAGCTGATTAGCCTTAATGAACCAACGGCGACAACAACAACAAATACACATTAGACATGAATTAGTAATATTTATGTATATGCAGCAAAAAAAAAAAAAAACAACTTTAATAGAAAAGCAGAAAATAAATTAAGAAAGAAAAGAAATCTTCAAAATGAACCTAAATAAAAAGTAAAAAAGTAATTGCAATTATTTAAATAAAATATTGAATACAAAAATATATGACATGATTGTACTTTTTTTTAATAAGTGAGCTGAAATAGGGCAGCTCTTATGACGTGGGATTCACATCTATCTATAAACTTGTCAATCTGGGAGCCTATAAGGGCTACAGACTTGAAACTTGAAATTTACAAGTCATAATGCGGCCTCTCACTGAAACTGGTTTATATTTTTTTAGGGAAAATATGCGGACTTCAATGACTTTGAAAACCTTACAAATTATAACTGTTGAATTTTTAGACAAAAATTTATCCTTCAAAAGATTATTCAAACTATTGTTGATAGACGATTTTGCACTAGTGGGACACCAGATATAAAGAAGATAAATGTACAAAATATAAAAATATATAATAAAGTATTTTTTATATATTGAAAATTAAATTAGTAGTTAAGGTAAGGCTTTCCTAATGAAGTACTTAGAGATTCGGAAGCACACTTTAAAATGTCTCTAGGTATTTTCGACTTTAATAAAGGTCTACAAATATTTTAAGATTCTTTAAAGTTCGGCTTAAATGCTGGCTAGTAATATTATATTGCATAATATTTATTTAAGAGTACGATTAAATTATAATGTTCCCCTATAAGATTCTCAGGTATTCAGCCCTAGATGGCTTTTTTTCATTATCATTTATCATTATAATAGAATTTGATATGCTATCTTGAATTGTATATTTCTCTGGATTCTGATACCTTATCTGATCCATTAAAAATGGGTATAATGGGTATAATGGTTTTGTTTTCACATTATAGTAATATTTATTTAATTATACACTTTATCCATACATTTAATATATTGCCGAATTTTACTTTAACTTTATCTTGATCCACGGATCTTCAATCAACTTTTGAGAATAAAAGTTGTATAGAATTTCGAAGCGTTTAAGATTTGCGTCTAATTTGCGATCAATTTATCATAGAATATTTTATAGTTACTCAAAAAAAAGTAATATATATATATATATATATTCATATATAATATGATTTATATATGTATGTCTTCTTTTGAATTTACATAAGTGCGTATTCATTTCCATATCTCTCTAGGCATCCCTTCCAAGCACATTATCATAGTTGACTCCAATTTGACTGCGTATCTGATCCGTAATGGCAATCACCTCCAAGCTATCAGCATGCGTGTACTTGGGACTCTCCAGCAGACGCTTCTCGATGCACCGACGCACTTCCTCCGCCTCGTAGCGCAGCCCACAAGAGTTTGTATAGTGAAAATCAAATTTGGCCCTGGGCAGGGGCCAGGATTCGGGCGCATGATTGGCCAGTGTCAGCTGGGTGGGACACCAATAGTTGGAGAGCTGAAAAAATGAGTTATAAAAGTGTTACAATGGAGGCTGTTATACAAAGTGGGATATTATTTTTGAAGCAGGTAATCAGAAAAAAAAATTAAAACAAATTCAATCTAATCTCTTGTGTGATTTCTGTGCAGATTCCAGATTTTTTTATTTAATTTAAATTAATTTTTATTATTTATAGTGAAAATATATAATTAAAAAAATAAACCAATCTGGAATCTGCTGAGAAATCCTTTAACAATCAGTATAGTGTCAACACTGCAACGGTTCTCATCGGGTTGGAAAGGTCACAGCTATTTGTGCGATAAGCTCACCTTAATCTCGCCTTTGGTGCCCACGATGATCGCATCGTTCTCCAGATGCTCCAGGCCTGTAATGAGTGCAATCAGACGCCGATTATCGCCATAGTCCAATATGAATTCGGTTTGAACGTCGACGCGTTCCGCATTCAGCTGAGTGCCGCTGGGAATAATCTTGACGGGCGCCGAGCCAAAGACGAACTGGCCCAGCTGCAGCGCATAGATGCCAATGTCCAGGGTAATGGAGCCGCCCAGGGCGCGGCTGGCCACGCGCTCCACATTGGCCAAACGGAAGCCGTGCTGCAGCTTCACTAGCTTCACCTCGCCAATGGCATCGCCAAGGAGCAGCTCGCGCAGCCGTTCATAGCTGGGAAAGCAGCGACTCCACATGCCTGCCGGTATTAATTATCAACTGGCAATGCCAACATCTTCATTGATTTACTCACCTTCCATGAAGAATACGCCTCGTTGCTCGGCCAACTTGTAGAGCTCCTGGGCCTGCTCTAGGCCCAGGCACAGCGGTGTCTCGCAGAGCACATGCTTGCCCCGGATGAGCATCAGCCGCACCACAGCATAGTGAAATGGATTCAGGGTGCCCACGTACACCACATCCACCTCCTTGTCCAACGAGAGCGCCTCGAATCCGTCGTAGTGCCTCGGGATTTGATTGCGCTGCGCAAACTCCTGGGCACGCGAGCCCTCGACGTCGGCAACGGCCAGCACTGCGTGGCGCGAGTTCGGAATCGTGCTCAGAGCAGTGACAAAGTCTTGGGTGATTCGTCCAGCTGCTGCAATGCCCCAATTCAGGTTTTGACTTTGCATTATAAGCACTCGATATATATAATAGATATATGCATATGTCTATAATTCCGTGTGCTGTCGACTCGCCACTGTTGACACAACTGCCGGAGCGGATCGGACGCGATGTGCGCCAAATGCGCCAAGTGCGCGTCCTTATCAGAGCCAAACATCTGCATTCACTGCATTTGCACTTTTTCATTACATTCTATGCTGATAACAGAGAATAACACGAGCCGCTAGTTCACAGTGCTCTATAGTAGGTATACCTTAGGCATGCTCTCCTATACGTACGTATATACATTCATATATGAATGTATGTATGTATTATCACCATGTTCCCTTTGATTATATTCGGAGATAAGTGAGAATTCTCGTTGGAGCGAATGACTTTTTAATATATATACATTTCAAAGGATTTTTGATATACAATTTTTTATAAAATAAAAAATTTATTATTACACCAGTATACCACAAAAAAAAAAAAATATTACAGTAAAAAAAATTGAGCATTAAATTAAAATTTTAATACAAGTTATCGTACATTTTTCTTATTTTCCCTATTATTATTTTATGTTTCAGTTTGGATATCACAATATATTTTAAATCCTTTATTGCAAAAATTTTTATTTTTTATTTTTTTAAATTTTATTTTATATCAATATTTCGTTTAATAAATATATATATATTTTTTTAAAGCTTTTTTTTTATATATACATATATTGGGTAAAGCCATTCCTACATTTAGTTCTTTCTAACTTCATTCCAGGTGATAAAGCTAGTTCATATTTTACATAGATTGGCCCCAAGGTTTCCAATATCACGCTGCTAATAACTCTTGTCACATGTCCAACAAATATTAAGCCTTATCAGTCTCTTATATATGCAGACGAGCCTTCTTTTTAAGGTGCTGATTAAAAATTGATGATCTCACGTATTACTAATTGAATCGCTGCTGAGTTTTAACGGTCATTAAAGGTCACAAAACACTTGAACCAAAATTTAAAGCACTTTAATGAAGTGTTTCACATTTATTATACATAATTTTCATTTCGATTGCCTCAAAATATATGTATGATTCCGATACAGGGTTTAGGAAAAAAATTTTAATGTTGGTAACAAATTTTAAATCGTGTGACAAACTAAGATTCCTGTAGATATAAGTGTTGCTATCCTATTTTATATATCTCACGTATGTTTTATAATAATAATAATATAATAAGATAAATTCTAAATAATCCTTGAATGTAATAGTAAAAAAAATATATAATATAAATTGTATAATGCAGTGCACATTTCTTGTCTATATTTTTTGTGTATGAGAATAATAATAATATTGACTTTTCCAGACTTTATAATAGACAATCTTTTCTCTCTGTACATTATATATGTACCATGTATTTTATAGTATGTCTCACATATACAGTTTTGTATACATATATAAATAGTATAACATACATAAATATTTTGAGCTCTCCTATATATATATTATATTTATAAATATTTAATTTCAGGCTGCAATCGTGACTGAGCTTACAATTACTTTCCTATGCTTGACCTAAACAAAGTCAAAGCCAATGAGAATCGGCTTGCTGGGAATATTTACAATATAGTATATAGACCACTATTGAGGGCTTATCACTAAAAAAAAATAATAATTTAGAGTACCTTAGCTGAACTAAATGACTTGGCATTGATTGTAATTGAAAATTTTCGCTGATGATTAGATAAGTCTTGAGATCTAACTGACATAGCATACATTTATTATTATATGAAATGAAACAAAATATTAAATATACATTCCTTACTTTATATATACATATTTCAAAAATCTTGCAATTATTTATTTTTCTTTTTATTAGTATTTACAAAAATATTTTAATAATATATATTATACTTATTTATTGCTCATCATATTTATTAAGCACGCCGATCTGTTTCCGAATCGTATCCTCGATCTGGGCAAATAGCAGGCTGTCCGCATAGCTGACAGTCTTGTTCTCCAGCTCGCCGGCGAGTATGGATTGACGCACTGCCTCCGCCTCGTAGCGCATGGCCTCTGAGTTGGCATAGTTGGTCGCATGCTTGCCCTTGGGCGGCAGCCACTCCTTCTCCTTGCCATCGATGTCAATCAGTTTGTTTGGCGTCCAGAAGTCGATCAGCTGGAATGAGGAAGTCAATTAGTTGTTATAGAAACAGAAACACATAACAGAAATCAAATGCTGACGTCACAGAGCTTTGATCAGTTGCCGGCAACGTGAAAAATTTGTATCAATGTTTATATCGCTCTCTTAGAAAATGTCAATTCATTGACTTACCGTTACTTGTCCTTTGGTGCCCTTGATGATGGCCTTGTTGTCCAGCTTCTCGCGCGATGAGATGCGCATGCGTGCCGTACGCCCGCCGCTGTAGGTCAGCGTGGTGCTGACATCGTCATCGATGCCCTCGGCATTGGTGTGGCCAGTCGATTCGATTTTCTGCGGTGGCTCCTGGAAGGCCCATTGCGATACTTGTATGGTATAGATGCCCAGATCATAAACGACGCCGCCACCCAGCTCCCGCTTTCTGCAAGGAACAGATCAGATTAGTCCAAGTAATTTCAGCTGTCCAGCCACCACTTACTGCAAACGATCCACATTAGCCAGAGGAAAACCAAAGTTAACCTGCACATCCTTGATCTCGCCCAGAGCTCCGGTGTCAATGAGCTGGCGCACATGCTGATAGGAGGGGAAGAAGCGTGACCAGACAGCTTCCATGAAGAAGCGTTTGTTCGCCTTGGCAGCGGCCAGAATGCCCTCCACCTGTTTCTTGTTCATGGCCAGCGGCTTCTCGCAGAGCACATGCTTGCCATGGTTCAGCATCAGCAGAGAGACCTCATAGTGCTGCGGATTCAGTACGCCAATATAGACCACATCTAGACGTAGGTGGACATTAGTAAAGAGTTTTAAGTGCTAAAGGAACTCGTTACCTACCCACATCTTTGCTCTTGGCCAGCTCCTCGTAGCTACCCAGGGCCGTGGGTATTCCGTGCTTCTTGGCAAACTCTGCGGCTCGCTCCTGGGCGCGTGCGGCCACAGCCACCACCTGGTGATCGCTGGCGGGCAGCGTACTAAGCGCAATGACAAAGTCCTCGCTAATCTTGCCAGCGGATGCGATACCCCAGCGAATCAACTTTCCCGACGACATGTTGAACGGTTCTCCAAACACCTTCGAATGAGCTCAAAGTGAGAACTGCTGTTAGTTAAATATGAAAAAGTTGACGCCGGTAATGCATACTGTGTATGCTATCAGCTAGAGGAGAGCGAGAGAAAGAGATAGAAAGACGGAAAGAGAGAGGCACAGAAGGAGATAGAGAGAGAAGGTAAGAGTATATACTCCTTCGATAAGGCTCAATGGTAGCAGTTCAGCATTTATCTGAATGCCCTTTGCAGAGGGTAGATAATAAATATTA